CAAAGTCAATTAAGAACTGGTGAAAATATCATCACATTAATAAAATTAGAGAATATATAAGCAAATCTAAATTCTTAAACATGCATCTATTTCATTGCAAAAGAAAAGTAAAATGAAGTAAAATGATTGATAAAATTAAGTAATAAATTATGTGCCAACAAAAAACATGTCTACCTACCCTCTTTCGAGTGTAGAGGTACGCTTAGTATTCTATTAGTTTTATGTTGTCACTTAGAAGCATTTAATAGAAACAGATTGTTAAATTATATTTTCTTAAATGTTACATTGTCGTCTAAATTATTTTACTAGCCATCCAGTCAATGTGAGTGCACTCAAGTTACACGATCACTGTTCTCTTAAATCTTAGTTTCACTTTCAACAGATTTTAACATAACTTATTGTCACTCAAATTATATTAATCAAGCAAAGAAGATATTACTCATCACATGAAAATAAAAATAATTTTATCATTAAACAAATTTTCTTACACATGCCACTATTTAATATTAAAATAAAAGAGTAAAGAAATCTACTTACGAAACATGTATAAAACACCACAGAAAACTTCGTTTAAATCAAAGAAAATCCACTAGAAAGTGTTTACAACAATTACAAGATAATGAAGAACACAATACTTAGATTTTCCCCTTTGAAATAAATAACAAATTTAAATAACAAATTTCTCCATCAAAGTCTCTTGCCGATCCATGCACCGCCCATACTGAAATAAATAACAAATTTCTCAATCAAAGTCTCTTGCCGATCCATGCACCGCCCATACATTTCTTACACATATCTCTCAAAATCTCTCACCAATCTCTCCAGATAAAGTGAAAATCTACATCTCCATACTCACACCAAACTCTCTCTAAAATCCTTCTAAAAACTCCTAAAACTTCTCTAATTCCCCTCCTAAAACTTGTCATGAGAGGCGTCAAGCCCCTCTAATTAAAAAAAAACAAAAACTCTTCATTTTCTCCAAGAGACACATCTCTTCATCCCATCCGTTCATTCCAAGAGGCACATCACTTCATCCAAGAGCCTTTCCAAGTGTTTAGAATCATTAAATCACTGCATGGGACGTGCAAGTTGTCCAGAAGCTTTCAGAACATCCCAGAATGTCCCAGAATCACCCAAAACTCGCTTAAAAACCGTCTTGTGGGCTATAATGTCTGTGATTGGTGCTATAGTGGCGCTATAGCACCACCCTGCGCACAACTACACCGTTTTGCCCCGTTTCGCTCCATTTCAGCTCCGTTTTGCTCCGTTTCAGTTCTGTTGCGCTCCAGATTGGTATACATACAAGATAGGCATGAAAACAAAATTTATTTAAAGTGTAATTTCATTCAAAACATGTAATAAATATGAAGGAGATTAGGCACAGAAAGACATACCAAAAATATGTCAAATCAGAATTTTCTTCCTTGCTCGTTTTAGCCCCAAATTACACCATTTTTGTTTCATTTTCACCAAAACTCCATTTTTTATACTTGAAGACAAAAACATGCAAAATATCTTCCTTAAAGTATAATATCATCAAAAATATGCATAAAATGATCATGAAATGTATATTAAAAATAGGTAAATTTAAGGTGGATCAGATGACCTCGAACTTCTTTGGCAACAATAGTAGAACATTATTGGTAATTATTGTTCATGTTTACTGATAGTTCAATGAGTAATATTTATTCAATGGTTCTTTCGATGAGTTACATTTTTTGTCTACATAGTGGTTGTTCCATATGCTATTTTTTCTATCATTTTGAAAGCTTTTATTCCTTAGCATTGGTTTTTTTATACAATCTCTATATTTAATGTGGTAATATGCGACATGTTTGGATGGCCACAAGCTTCTCGGGCAACCACAGTCGATGGGTGGTTGAAAGATGGGTGGTTGAGCAAAAGACCATATGGCAGCTTGGACGAGTCTTACATTTGTTACATATTAGTAAAAGCTCAGCCATAGGCAAACAAGTAAGATTTCTAACTAATGCAAATTTATCCTATAGCAATTAACAGAAAGAAACTCATGCAAACATGTTTTACATTCATTACAACACCTTAAATGCTAAACCATGTGCAACATCTACGTTTCTAACTAATGAGATTGACAGTAATTAAGTACTCCTCATCTCATGCTTATCTCCAAAACTAACTCTGTTATCTGGTATGAAATGTTGTCAAAGTGTAAGTGAACATTCTCTTTTTTTAAAACATCATTTAAGAAACTCATCTCATGGTGATAGCAGCCGATTACACACATAACACTTCATTTTCATGTATTTATTTGTCTAAAACCAAAATTGCAATTTTTGCATCAATTTTAAAAGAAGAATTAAGATGTCCTATTTCTTGCTGATTACGCACATAACACTTGATTTTTATGTATTTACTTTTCTAACACCTAAATTGCAATTTTTGCATCATAGCACCTTAAGGTGCATTCCAATCTTTAAAAGTTAAAATAGTGTTACTTTTTATGTGATATGAAACATTTTGGTGGTATGCATGTAAAAAGTGAAGTATAGGTGTTAGATATGTAAATGCATAAGAATTAAGAGTTAGGTATGTAAATGCCACTATAATAGAAAAGGGTGGCTAGTTATGCAAAATGTTGTTTTCATTTGATGGTTTCGGATTGTTGGCGTGAGATATAATAAAAAAAGGTGGCTAGCATATTATATTAAAAGTTTTAGGGGTTTGCCAAGTAAAAGCTCCATTCTTGTTATTAATGTTATGATATAATATAGGGGGCAATTACATACAGACACTCAAGAATTGCTAAGTATAAAACTCCAGCTTATATTTTTCATTTTTATCATATTCTTAATATTTTGATCATGGAACTATTGTAAATATCCCTATTATATATATGCAGCAGCTAATATTTTGATCATGACACTCTTGTAACTCATTACCTGTCTTCCATAAAAACTATGGTGTTGATAAGGAGGATTGTTGCATTCTTTAGAATCATACCAAAGATTTGATTATTACCTGCTTGTGACTCGTATGTCTCTTGTGATAAAGAGGATTGTTACCTACTTTGACTCATAAGTTTTGGTGATAGTTTTAAGGTCCTCAACAGGTGGAAAGAGGTTCAATTCATATTTAGGTAATGCTTAATATTCATTTTTATCATGCTCCTCTTGGATGAACGTTGCAGTTTTGCCTTTTACTGGGGGCTCATTTGTATTTTCCTTATGTTATCTTATGTAGAGGAGGTTTATTCTGCTGTAGTGTGATTTGTATAGGATAAATTTTCAACATATAGCATATGATTGATTGTTGATATTGATGAGGAGATCGCTTATATTGAGAAGAATTATTATGTTGTAGTGTTATTGCCGATATTGATTTGGATAGCTATGAACTACCTTTTTATTCAACATATAGTTTCTGAATGAGCCCTATGTTTTTTATTAATCAACCTTAGTCAAATTTTAAAAGCCCAAATTTAGTCGTTGAGATAGTCTATATTGATATTAAGTTTATTCATTAGATCTATCTTTAATTCACATGTCAAATGATCAGATGTAATTTAAAATAAAATATGCCAATGATGATTGATTTCTATCACACTAAAGCATGTGTGGACAATTTCAGATGAACAGGTGTAATTTGCTTTCATTATTGATGCTCATAAACCACATGATACATTTCTAGAATCTCGAACCAATTGCCTGTCGATGGAAACTCCAAGTTTGCTTTTACCTAGAAGAGAAGATCAGTCCTTTCTCTTCTACTTTTTATTTGCCCATGTTCAAAGCATAAGCCACCCAGTAAAACAAAAACGATCGGGCGCAACGCCAAGATAGACCAGTCGATCCCACAATCCCTCAATGCCAAGTATAAAAAAAGCTTGCCACTAAACTCAACACAGAAAAAACTCTGGAGGTGGTTCCATGCCCAGTAGTGACAAGCTCCGCAAATGGTACAGTGCAAATCATCCCATTAACAAGTCTTGTTAGTGACAGGAGCACAAAGAGTGTCGAAACAAGGAATATCATCAGTGATTCATATAATCATGTTTTTTGTTTTATAAATTTTCTTGTCCTTATTGCAGCAATCATTATCAAAAAGCAGAAAATCGAAAAAATTAATATATACATAAAAATATTTTGCATTAATCTCCAGACAATCTAACATTTGGTCCTCCTCTCATGTAACCCTACTTGCCCCTACAGGACAAGTCTTCCTCTCTCCCTCTCTTTTCTGCTTTCTCCCCTTCGATCCCTAAACCCTATCCCTTGGGCATGATCGGACATATTTGGAATCAACATTTTCATTTTTTTTTTTAATACATTGATACCGATTAGCCTTTGCAATAGCACTAAAAGGACTCCAGTTGGATAACAATAACTGAACAATTTTTTTACGGAATATTTATATACATACAACTCAACTCCTATGTATTTACATATCTAATAGCTAAACTTCAATTTTTACATATGTCACCTTATCTATGGATGAAAATGTATACTCCACATTTTAGAAGTTAAAATAATGGTACTTTTGATGTAACATGAGAGATTTGAGTAGCATGAATGTAAAAATCAAATCTTAGGTCTTAGATATGCAAATACATAGGAATTAAGTGGTATGTATGTAAATGCCCCAATTTTTAGTTTCAAAACTATAAGTTTAACCTTCTTTGCAATGTAAGGAAAACTGACAAAATCATTCAAAGGTTTGAGAAAAGAAATGAAAATAACTCTCCAAAAAAATCCAGCAAAAATCAAAACAATAAAGTAGTAACATTTGTCTCTCAAAAAAAAAAAAAAAACTAGCAAAAATCAAAACAATAAAGAAGTAACATTTGTCTCTCAAAAAAAAAAAAAAAAAAAAAAAAAAAAACTTAAACAATGCAAAAATTATAATGTAAATTTGTTCTTATTGTAGTGAGATAGACCATAGAAGAGTAATAGAATAGGTAAAGAATAAAAATGCATATAGCAAAATTGTATAATATAAATAAAAATATAGCATATTTTGCTAACCCATGAATTGAATGCAAAATTAAAAGTCTGTTTATCCAGTTGTAAAGAAGATGAGATCCTGCTTTGTGGTGCAGATGCTTCAGAAGCAGACCCTGCATCACATATTTTAGTTAACCCCTGGCAAAACAATCTAAGATGAATATAAAAAACGCACGTTGATACTTACCTGAGTTATGAGGGCTTTTATTTTCTGTAGTAGGTACTGATGTGGATCTCTCTGATGATCTAGATGTCTGAAAAGAGCTGGAAGAGGACATGGGTTGAACCACAAAATTGGGATCCTGCATGAAAACTTGGGTCAATGCTTAAAGATGGTAAATTGTTAGATCAAACTAAGGCAGCAGTGACCAAATCATATAAATCAGATTAAACCGGAAAAGCTCATATTAAGTTTGAGCCGCATAACTGTTAAAAGTTTTCCTCCACTTTCATCATTCAACCAATAAATCATGCCATGTAATACCATAATTGTTGCTAGCCGCCAAAATATGACAGCAATCAATCATCACCCATCTCCTCGTCTTTCCCCCTTCTCCTTATCTCCATCAAAAGCACCAATGAAGCCAATGACCATTGCTTTCCTCAGTCCATCTCAAACCTTTCATTTTCTCAAGCCTACCCATCTGCTCCTCCTGAACTTCTTCCCTTCAAGTAGGCCATTATCACTTCTAGTTGCCCGCTACTCTCACTCTCCAACCTCTACTCAATCAACTCTTTCCAAATCAGCTCTTCTCCTCCAGTAGCACTACCACTAATAACAGCCATGCCCTTCCCTTCTTCACCTCCACAAGTGGATCGCGTTGGTATCCCACTGGATTCAGATTGGGTCCAAACAAAGAAACTTTGACGTGCAGTCAAACTCGTTGAGATTTAGGGCCCGTATAAGTGCGAGCGGCGTTTTGAAAACGCCGTCTTACCATTTGATTTGCGCGTTTTGACAGTTTATCCAAAAACAGGGTTTTGTATTTGTGAAGCGCGAGGCCCGCGGGGTGAACCCTGCGGGCCACGTTTTCGTTGGCATTATTACTCCCATGCTCTGGTTATTGTTCACATCTCCCTGCCCTCATTCTCGTTTGCAACTCCTGTACCCTAGCCGTTCCTCCCTCTTCGACAATCGTTCTCTCGACGGGTAGAGCCCTTCCCTCTTCTTCTTCGCCATCTCCTCTTCCTTCTTCGACATCTACTTCTTCGGCAAAACTAGTTTTATTCAAATGATTAGAGAATAAATAGCAGTACAAATGTATGTAGTGACGCAAGGAAGTTAACTTCGAGGTAATTCTCTTGATTTGGTCACTAGAGTTGTTGAATTCCAAGAGTGGGGACCGGATGAGGTGCGGGAGATGAGAATTTAGATAATTGGTTTGGTGGGATCATGATTATTATGCAACAGAAGAAGCAATGTGGAAAATGGATGTAGGAATCATTGTGTATTGTGAAAATGACCAAGTGATGAAAATTTTGATTGGCTGAGATGGATTGGTGTTGATGGTTCAAATGGGTTGCAAATATGGCAAATTCGGTGAAGACATAGCGAGCACCTAAGGGCTAGTTTATCAACTAGAGTATCATTACTTATGACACTAAAAGGATCGTAAGGATAAATAGCAATTTCGATCTTGCTAGAAACTCCAAGAAAATATTGGGCTGGGTGAATGGGGAGAACAAAGAACATAGCAAAAGGGGGTTTTTGTTTCATTTGATTGATTCCATACAAGTCTTCATATATAATTGTGGATTCCATACAAAGTACTTGGTACTCATAACTACCTATAAACTGACTCATAAAAACTATTAAGCAACTTATTACAGTTACCAACCAAATTGCTATTGTTCAAGCGGCATCCAAATTGCTCTTTTTTTTTTCTTTTTAACTGATTGTGTTTCTTGTTCATTTGCTTTAGAGTAATTAACAAGTTAAACACATTAGATTAATCCCCTTCTTTCTATGGTTTCTTTGTTTCTTTGGCAAGTTATACACATTGTTGAAGTGGCATCCAAATCGCCATCCATTTTCATTGAACTGGGAAGAAATCTGGTAACCATTCATCACTAAAGTAAATTAAATTGAAGATATTAATCCATTGTAGATTTAAGTGGTTCATAGGTTGTTCCTGTTTGCTCATATGTTGTTTCCAACGACTGGCACTACATTCTAATTGTAATTTCATTCCCTTCAATTGTCATTGCCCTGGCGTAGTAGTATCCATCGTATTAAGGGTATAGAAGGGTGAATGGAGCCTTTTGTATACAAATAGGTACCTTTAGGGTTTCCAGAGGTTTTTATATGTTATGCATGCAAGCATAATTGTGTTTTATTAGACTAACAATATATATATATGTATGTATGTATATATATATATATATATATATATATTTATGTGGAGCCATTTTTTTTAATGTCAGTCAATTGTTCAAAAGCTCCAATAGAATCAATGAATATAATTTTGGTTTCACACACACACAGGCTAGCTTCTTTGTGGTCTTGGGTGAAATCAACGTCCTGCAAACCTAATGATGCAGTTGGAATATCATTGCACATAATTCTTTGTTTAGCTTTATTTGTATTTTTTTTTTTCCTTCATTGGATTTGCTACTTGCTTAAACACTGGAGCAAAGTCAAACTACATAAATATGTAAGCATAAATTGTGCTTACAGAGTTATAGACTTGATATTCAATTTAATATAAGTAATATATATATCATGAATTCAAAAGCTTTTTAACCTGCTATTGATTATTATGACTAGTATTTTTTATGTGATAGGAATGATTTGGCTTGTGTAAATGTGAAAAGTAAAGTTTTTGTGTTAGACATGTAAATGCATAGAAATTGGGTGGTATGTATGTAACTGTCCCTCGATTTATTTATCTGCTATCAGTATAGAAATGGTTTTGGTGGCTGTGTTGAGTTAAAATTAAAAAGCCTGCTCGCAACTGTTTTTGTGAAAGATGAATAAAATCGTTGTGCTGTTTAAATTGAAGTTTTTTATCACCTACCAAGTATGGAGCAGCTTGGACGGCCACTGAACTTTGTTGTTGGCAATTGTTGCTTCCACACTTTGGTAGTTTGAGAAGTGTTTGATTGATTCTTTCTACGGTATTGGAAACCCCTATCTGGTGATTGAATGATTCTTCGCCAAGTCTCTCATCCATTGTATCTATCTCCTTTTATTTCTATGAACTTTTTATAGTTAAATATGTCACTACAATGAGAAGGCTTTCCTTTAAAATGTTATGCCACTTTCTCATCAGTATTTGGCATGGAGAATTGGTTTTTTTCTTTAAGAATGGTGAAGTTATGAAGCATGATGATGCAGATTCCATTCTCTAACTTGCAATACTTTGTGGTTACTATGGTGTCATTTCCTTTGGATGGATCATGTAGTTTTTATTCGGCGGGCCTGTGGAGTGAACTTGGTTTTCTTCATAACTTCTAGGCTAGGTTTTAGATTTTGTAGTTTTGGTCGGAGAGTAAGCTTATGGGCTATGTTGTTTCACATATTGATTCTTTTAGTTGCAAACTTGTGGCTTTATTCACCCCTTCTATCCTCTTCTATATCTTTTTCTATCTTTCTCTCCCTCTCCCCCTATCTCCCTGAGTTGTGGTGTTGCATGTACATGGGAAGAATGCAATGCAAGGTTGATTTTGAATCAGCTACTAGCCAGCCCTAACAGTGAATGCTTTCTGTAGTAAAGATTGTTTCAAAATATTTAAGGATAAATTACATTGAGATTGATTCTCGCCTTAATTAGCAAAGCATTTGGGGCAGCAAAACGAAGGGGTTAGATATGTCAATACATAAGAAATGGGTGGTATGTATGTAAATGGCCCAAATCAGAAATGTCTAATGGGTATATGATAGATTTATTTTTTTTCATTTGGCTTCAGCAGCTTCATGAGTTTTCTATGAACATAAGACCTTATGATAAATTTCCCGCCTATGCATTCTCGGCGATCCTTTATCATCCGTGCATTTTGATTTATATGGCTTTTCTTTTGATGTGTTTGAGGGGAGGCCAGAGGCCAGAAAATATTCTAAACCCAAAGAAGAAACAATTAGAAAAGATTACACCGGTATGTGAAATCTTTCCTCGTTCTACCTCGATTCTTTCCCGTTTATATTGCACATCTTTGCGTAAGAATTTGTCATCGTGTGGCAGTAATAATTTTATTTCATTAGCTATCATTGTATGCAATGTTGTTATTATTTCTTTGGGGAATATTGACTATCAAAACATAAAATTAATGTAGGCTGGATTCGATCCTAAAAGCTCAGTCTAGATATTCCAGTTGATTCCTGCATAACTGATTGTACAAACTTCAATTGAACAAACATTTTATGGATAAGTTTTATGATCAAATGATTGTAAGAGTTGAAATTGTTTAGTCAATCAATTTAAAGGCTGCCGAAGTGAATAAAGAATAGTTTTGTTCTTATATTAGTTGGTTAGGACTTCAATTTTTGAACAGAGAAGAATGGATATTGTTTTGCGGAGGGGAATGAATATTATTATACTTTTATTTGTAATTTTAATAAATTATTTCTTTTTTATTGGGTTTGTTTGATACTCATTTTTAAGTGAGATGTATATTCTTTTTTGTATTGTAATGAAGCGTTTTTTTTCTAAATTGTCAAATGCGTAGTCGTTATAGTTCTGTTGGAAAAAACAACGCTACACAGTGTCAGAATAGTCATTTATCCACAAACTCCTGCAAATCAGTTGTTTTTTAAACACACAAACCAAACAGCTAGACAGTTTATCTAGACTAGAGACAGAATGATTACTTATCTAGAAACAACTGCAAATCAGTTGTTTTTCAAACGCACTTTATCTAGAAACAACTGCAAATCAGTTGTTTCTCAAACGCACAAAGTAAACAGCCAAGCAGCTTATCCGGAACAACTGTTAATCAGCAGCTTATCCGGTGGTCGTTTGGATAAGCTGGATAAGCTGCAACTGTCCCAAACAGACCCTTAATTTCTCTCCTTAGTGAGCTGATATCTTCCTAGAATAACAAATTCTCTCAAAAAAACATTTATTACTTGAATCATGGTTTTTAATTTAAATGTGATTTGATATTTCCTTTTTTTCATTTCTTGACTATCCCTCTCTCCCGCTTATTCAAGTGAGCATGCAGGCATCATCTTTCTTCTAGGAATCTAGAGAGTAAATTGAACTAGCTGAGTTCTCAAAATAGGATCCATTTTAGTTTTGAAATAATTACCTTCTTATAATGTTATATTCCATTGTTGTGAATTAATAATAATGTTGAAGTTCCCCTATTTTTTTTTGATCCATGGTGTAATCATTAAATATCTCTAGGTATCAGATGGCATCTCATTCATGTGATATTGATTAGGAAAGAACGAAATGGAAATTCACCCGAGAAGATTAGAAACATCTAAATAGCTATTGGGACATCTAAAACTCTCGGAAAAGTAATTTCTCTTCAGGCACACCAAGCTTCTCGAAAAAGATCTCAAGTGCTACAAATCCTATCAAAAAAAATCTTAACTATTAGCCTGAGGGTGCGTTTGGGACAGCTTGCGTGTTTCAGGATAAACAGCTTATCATGAAACGTAGTCCGTGGGTCGACCCGCGGCCTACGTTTAGTGTAAAATGGAACAGCGTTTTCAGATAAGCAGACAAAACGCACGATCCAAACGGTACTGCGGCGTTTTCAAAAATGCCCCTGCACTTATAAGCTGCCCCAAACGGGCCCTTAATGTCATTAAACAATGAAAGTGTTACAAATTCAATAACAAAAATGAGCATTACTAACACAAGTTTAAAAAAATTGTCAGAACATTAATTAAGAGAATATAAATAAAATCAAATCTGGAAATAACTGCTTTCATCAAATGTTAGATTTTCTTCGAACATTAAATTAAACTTTAATTCAATTTTTGCGGCAAACACTACCAATAAATAATAGTCACTAAACTAACTTGAAAGGGTGAGGCACATCTATAGCTAACTTACAGAGAACATATTATGCTATATTCATAACCAGTATAGAGATTGGGTCAAATATTTTCCCTTTTATGGAACATCCAATTTAGCGGATCATATGGATACTTGCATGAATGTTTTATCCATGAGCAAAGTCATGGATGCTATCAAGTGGAGAGTATTCATCAACAGCTTCAAAGATTCAATAAGAATGTGATACATTCAACAAGGAAACATCCTATTATTTGCAAATCTTTCAGTATGACACCACTGAAAAACTTCTGAACAAGTTTGTTGCAAAAAGCAGTAAGAAGGGGAATGCAATAGAGAAACATGGCTTGATTCAACAAGGACAACCATAATGTTACCGAAAGAGAAAAGTCATTGGTGAGGATTTTATTTGTCATAAAGAGTTTGGCAGCACTTTCAAGTTTGTTATTGCCAAAACAAACCTCCAAAGAGCTCAGAGGAGATGCTCAGAAAGTTAACCATTACATAAAATACCTAAAAGTTCATTTATGAGTCAAAACAGCCAGACATGACAACATCTCCACATACTGAAAAAAATAAACTATAAGAACTTCTCTTCTCAACCCAAGAGGAGATTTAAGTAACTAGCTTCTCTAAACATAAAATAGGTCAGTATTAACACCAGTCATCTATAGACAATAAAAGGATTCAACATCCTATGCTCCCTACGGGGTATGTAGCATCAATCTCCCTTAAATCACCACTGGCTACTGCGAACAATATATTCTGCCAACCTACTCAACAAGTAAATAAAAAGGTGGAGAAGAACGATGGCCATTTGGGTTTGAGAGAAGAACATGAAGTCACTAATGATTCGACTTCTTATGAGACTGGTTATGAGTGGTGTATGTGTCAATATGAGAGAGGTGAAGCATATGGTGTAATATGAGCACGGGATTAATATCAGTATACTAAGTCCACAATAGAGATGAGAGATTTTTACTATTCGAGCTATTATGTACATAATGCATGAGACCAAAGGGATAAAAGAAAAAGAAGAATCACCAAGAAGAGTAGATTTATAGGGGAGGAAATTGTTGGCCTACATATGTGTGCCACAAACCAATTCGACCAATTAGGACAATAATGGAGAAAGATGAACACAATGTTGTAAAAGATTCACTCAAAAACATCATTGCTTGTATGAAAAAGGCACTCAAACATTGCATATTTCATAAAATGGACCATCCTATGTCGAAAAAGACACTTAAATATTGCTTTATTTAGAAAAAGATTGATTTTATTTTATTTTATTTATTTATTTATTTATTTATTTAAATGTACTTATTTATTGATCCCTTTTATGGCAAGAAATAATTCCTACATAAAAAGTTGCAGTAATTGGAAAATCAATAAATAATGCAGCAAAAAAGTAATTAAAAAAATATTGGAAATTCAGTCAATCCAACCTTCCCTCCGGGTTCTCCACATAAGCACACAGACAAGGTTTTCTTCCAAATGATGAATTAATGTAGATGAGTTCATCAAACTTCATACCATCTAAGGATTTCTTTTTAGTATTGGGTTACTTACCTTCTGCTAATGGAGTTCTAATGTATGTTATTTATTTGGTTGAGGCCTTCTCTATTTGGATTATTTTGATCCTATTAGGTTTTTAAACATGTTTATCTGCAAGCTTATCAGCAGTCAACGGAAATTCCACTACAATTGCTTGGTTTGTACATTAAAATGACTTCAAAACTATCTCTGCTAATCCCAAAGCCAAATTGAAAGATAGAGGAGTGATGTTAGGCTATAGCTAATTATAAAACCTATGCTGAAATTTTCAAATCACATTAGAAATGATTGGAAATGAAAGAATCACAAATCTAACCCAAATGGTTAGGATAAGGCTAGTCACGATGGAAATTTAGGATTATTTGACCTTATTCTATTTGGTTAGCATGCTGAAATAAATCCTTATTAACCCCAAATAGTCAAAATTTTCAACCATTTATATCTATAATGGTAGCAAGCTTGCTTACTTAAAAGTGTTTAAGGGTTTGTTTGGGATGATTGCAGCTTATTTTAAAGTTGATTATAAAATTGTTGTGGAAAGAATACTTTTGTAATGATGCGGTGAATGATATAAATGTTTTTTTTTTGTTAATTGGACAGCAACTTTCCTATAGTCATCACATTTTAACAAATTTTATTCTCAGTAGCAGCTTCTTATCACAAAATTTTTGGAAACATAATAGACAAACAGTAGTAAAACGAATGTATAACAATGATCTTAAAAGTGAAACGATAAAGCACATCAAACCCTTACATATAACAGTTGGTAGGGATATGATAGTAACAGGTATGTTAAAATAGCTGAAGCAATTTAGCAACTATGCAAAAATACACTGGCATGGAAAGCATAAGTAACACCAAGAATATATTTGCCCACCCCAAAGTCCGCAGGAAACTAAGGGTCTGTTTGGGTAGTTGTAGTTGTTTAAAGAAGCAGTTGTAAAGCTGCTGCAGAAGAAATTGCTTTTTAAAATACTATAATGGCTATTACAAAATTTATTTTATTTTAAAAAATCATATCGTAACTTTCTAACAGCCACTACACTTTAATAGTTCGGGTTAAAAAAAATAATTTTCTATCACAGAAATTTCTAAGAAACAACAGATAAAGAAATCCTCAAATAGAATTGTGGTGCCGGTATGAAAAGCAAAGCAGACAGAACCTTCGAGGCAATGCCACCATCAAGAGAATGGGATTTTCCATCCTCTCTCAAACCTGGCTACAGTTCCAAATAGACCCTAGAGGCAATGCCACCATCAAAAGAATGGGATTTTCCATCCTCTCTCAAACCTGGCTACACTTCAGTTACCTTGAAAGAAGCTCACAAAGGAATGCGCAAAACTGATAAACAAATAAAGGATGTTGCTTCGTGAAAAAGCTTAGTACTAAGCACAACAAAAGGTAAAAAATTCCAAAAGGCACCATGAATTCAACGTTGATAATGCAGTAACGGAGATATGGATGTGAGCGTGGTTAAGCGAAGGAGGGATTCATCAGATATAAAGAGAAAGGAGTACGATGTAACGCTGGTAGAACTTGCGCTTGTAGTGGTCGACGATGTCGGATCGGGAAGCCATGTGAGGAGGGATGAGAACGTTGGACCAGTACTCCGCCCAACGGGGATCGATTTCATACTGGTACGCCGCGGCGGCAATCTTTTTTATCCTCTGGGGGTCGTTCTCATCACCCATCTCCCCTTCTCCCCCTCTCCCCTTCTCTCTCTGTCACTCTCTTCCCGACTTGCAACGGGGAGGCTAGGTAAGAGGCAGCAGGGTGATACAGCCCGGTCTAAAAACTGCTCAAACTTTTTATTTATTTATTTATTTATTTATTTATGTACATACATACCACAGAATTCTTATGTTTGTAAAGTTCTTTTTGAAGTTTCTCCTTCAAAAGTCACGTTCTGCAATGAAAATCCTCCTCTTGCATTCTTACTCTTTCTGATCTAGAGACTTCTTAAAGCATTTGGTCACCAAACATCTCTTTCTCTGACGACTGTGTTGAGTGCGGTAGAAGAGGAGGCAGACACAATCTCAAACTAGAAAAAAATTTGCCTACGTAAGACGCACGCAGCGATGCGTGCGATATCCAATCAGAAGACGCCACATAATTTTCGGTGGACCCACTGCATTAAATAAATATAATAAATCGAAATAAATCCGCGTGTGGCCTGTTACCCGGCCCGTGGTGTAACTCGTTTGTACCTTGATCTGTAACTCCGATATACCCTTATTATATCTCCCGCGGTCGGCCTGCTGTAACCCGATTGTAACCGGGATATATTAGCCATGTACCTTCTGCGGTACAGGGCCATATAACGCGCTTGTAACCGGAATATACCCAAGATATACCTTCCGTGGTACAGGGTCATGTAACGCGTTTTTAACCGTGATATACCCCAACTATACCTTCCACAGGTGTAACCTGCCTGAAACCGCGGAAGTAGCTTTGTACTATCGTTGTAACTCGTTATATACCTCCATATAACGCTAAACGCCGCGGAAGTAGCTTTATACTATCGCTGTAACTCAATTATAACCGCCTTATAATAGACTTTGAAGCTCGTATAGTGGAACATCGCTTGTAACCGCATAGATTAGAGTTTGTACCCATGTTGTAACTGTCATGTAACGAAGGATTATGCCCCTTCAGTTGCAACCGCGCGTGTATCCTAAATGTAACTACGTTGTACATGATTTAAATTAGTGAACGCGAAGCATGGTATTTAAGCAGCTAGGTTTACTGTTTCATTATTCTCTGGCCATTTTCTCCTGCAACGGCAGCTTCGGGCTTTTCGACCTCTTGAACTTGAAGATGGAGTACGACTACAGAGAGTGTCAGTTTATGTTCGACGCAGTGCATGACACAGAAGGAGAAGATGGACATTATCCGGACATGACAGAAGAACTAGAACTTAAAATGGAGGCATGTTTGGAGATGTGTTGTTATAATAATTAGTTTAGGGTTTTCTTTTATGTTCTTTGTTGTTATGGTTTTCTTATATTTAGGATATATCTATTTTTTGTATGTATGTTGTGTTATGTTTCTTCTATTTTTTGTATGTTCTCTTATAATTAGTTTATGGTTTTCTTAAATGAAGGCATGTTTACATAGTTGCATGGTATTATGTGTAATAAAAACAGTGAAGTAAATATTGGAGTAATTAATATATCCTTCATTAAACTCAAGTTTTTAGAGGTATATGATTTTAGGTTATTTGAAGATTTTTAATTTTAAGGTGTCATTATGAAGTTTAGGGATGTTTTTTGAGCTTTCTATTGAGTTTAACATTTTATTCTATTGCTTGCAGTTTGGTAAGAGCAATGTTGGTTGTACCGAGCAAAGAAGAAACATATTACTCGAAACGTTGGTCCACAATGAGAAAGAAGCTTATGATGTATATTGTGCTTACGCTCATAATATTGGATTCAATGTTCGTAAGGATCACACTATATTTTGGACTAACTCCAGAAAAATCAAGACGAAGGACTTCGTATGTGGAAAAGC